TTTGTTTTTCTTTAACCGCTGTTGTTTTTTTTAATGTCATTTGCTAATTTCAGTAAGTTTTGGTGTGTATATTTAACAGCAGGATCTAAAAATAATCCTTTTAAGTCTTTAAGTGCATCAGTTCCGAGTAGGACACCGAGGATTGCGGATCGTTTAAAAGGTAAATAAAACAAGTGTTATATACCTGAGAGCTAGAAATATTGAAGGCAAATCTATGGATTATAAACCATTCGAACCGGGAGGATTATCGGTTTTGACAGGCATAGATAAGAGGATTAACAGCTTGAAAATCGAGACAGGTAGTCAAATAGTTAAGTCGATGATGAAATGAATAGTGATATGTCAGAGTTTTACGAATGTGATTATGAGCAAGCTAATAACGGAGGTAATGAATTGCAAAATTCAGCAAATAATCCGAGCAGTTCGTAAAAAATAGCTAAAATAAATATTACAAATATGTATAATAATAAAGATATTAAATATAAATCAGATAAAAAATTCAAACGTAATTCGAATAAAAAGAAATTTAATATATCCGAAGAATGAATTAAAAAAATTGTAAAAATAGAAACAACGAAAGGTGAAGTGGTAGTGTTAAATAATAATAAAAATAAAGAAACCCCTAGTTGCAATGTGAGTGTAAATAACAAAAGTTGGAGCGAAATGATAGAACAAGAAACCGTTACAAATAATGAAGATAGTAATTTTTATAATTCGGATGATAAAGGACCATATGCAATATTTGCCGAAGCAATTGATAATAACATTGGAAGATTCCACAATCTAGCATTGGGAATAATGTTATTCAAACAAGAACCTAACATTAGTAAAAATATCATAAATATATCTAAAATTGGAAAAAATAAAATCAAATTATTATTTAAAAATTACGCGTATGCAAATAAACTAATAAAAGAAAAAATTCTTGAACAATTCAAAATAAGAACGTATATTCCGAAGCACAAATTATATAGAACTGGAATTATTTTCAATGTTGATCCGGATATGGATGAGCAGGAAATTAAGGAAGTGATGAGATCAGATATTGAAGTAGTAGGCATCAAATGTATTAAAAAAGAAATGTAGATAAACAAAATCTAAAAAGTCAAGCTGTTAAACTGGTATTCAGAGTGAACTATTTGCCAGAATTTATATCAATGTATTCTGTTAGATGTCCCGTTAGTCCATACATACAATCAGTGATACAATGTCATAATTGTTGGCGGTTTAGACTTATAAAAATGAATTGTAAGAGCAAAATAAGATGTAAAAATTGGGCAGCTAAGCATTCCCACGAACAATGTCATATTGCCACAGAGTTTGAGTGTACTTTATGCCGAGAAAAACACCAGGCAAATAACAAAGAATGTAAATTCTTCAAACTAAATAAGGAAATAAAAGAAATAATGGCTTTTCACAATGTATCATATCTAGAAGCAAAAAGGATAATCCAGAAGAATCGTTATGTGGATGCAGTTAAGAGCAACCCATACAATCTGGAATATAACTCATCATTCCCAAAACTAGGTAGTAATATAATTATGAACTCACACAACAACTATAATAATAAATATGAGATATTGAATAGATTAGAAGAACAAGAATTAAATATCGAAAAGGACAGATTAATGGTGATTAAAAAAACAAGAAATATTATAGAAAAACGCCAATCAGAATACTTGAGAAATATCGGCCAAAGTAATAAAGAACAAGTATCTCAAAAAGAACTCAGGAATTCGATATCATGGACAGTAATAAAACGAATAGGATTGAAGATAATAATAGACAACTAAATTACTTCATAGAACTGGCAATGAAGTTAAGGGAAAAAATAGAATCTGAGAGAAACAAAGATTGTAAAGAATTAAAGGAAATTATATATAATCTAAAATACGATATCCACACCATTGGTAGATATTTAAACCAGGCTAATAAAACAGATAAAGGTAAAAGTAATGTAAGTCAAGTACATAATAAAGGATGTGAGAATAATTCTAACGGAAGGTAGAAGATATAGACGACTCTCTTTAGAGAGCATCTTGAAATTAAAAACTAATAAACAAGCATGGACAATTTTAACATTCTTCAACTAAATTGTAGGTCATTACTAGCAAACAAGGAAAGCATAAAAAGCCTGATGTACCATAAGAAAATTCATATTGCTGCTCTAACAAAAACTTGGCTAAAACAAGGACAAAAATTTAACTTTAAAGATTATAAAATATTTCGAAGTGACAGACAGGATGGGTATGGTGGCTCAGCCATACTGATCAGAAACAGTATTATCTGTGAGGAATTCAGACATTCTCAGAACAACCGGGACATCCAAATGACTGCAGTTATAATTGAATCGACTACCCCCTTTTGCGTGGTATCCATATATTGCTCACCTCAAGCCACAAAGGATTTATATTTAATCCAAAATTTCATTGAACAAATTCCAGTTAGACTAATCGTCACCGGAGATTTCAATAGTAAACATATAGCATGGGGAAATGAAATAATTGACAGAAGAGGTGCTATAATGTATGATATTGTAGACAGTCTTAACCCAGTTGTCCTGAATGATGGAACTCATACGACAATACAAAATATTAAGAAAAAATTTACCGCCATTGATCTGTCCTTTTGCTCGACATCTATTCATGACAGGATTCATTGGAGTGTAATTCCTGAAAATGTTGGTTCTGACCATTTACCAATTATAATAAAGTTGCATTTCAAATTTAATACAAGGATGCGTTGGTATCCCGGTAGAAAATGAAACACTAAACAAGCAAATTGGGAAAAATATGGATCAGAGATTGAAGATATTCTGGAGACCTCAACAATTCCTTCAAACTGCGAACAAAAATATAAGTTTATCCAAGATACCATAAATAAGGCGGCAGCACAGCACATTAAACAATATAATGTATCGGATACCTTTAAACCGGTCATATGGTGGGACTAAGACTGTGAGATCCAAACAAGAAGAAGAAATGAAGCCTTTAAGAAACTAAGAAAGAAATTTAACTACGAAAATTACTAATAGCACAAACTAAATGGCTGCTTAAAACAAAGAAAAAAGAAAAATGGCGTGAGTTAATAAATTCGTTCAATATGAATACAAATATTAACAAAATTTGGAACACTATCAAAAAATTGACTAATAAAAATAATAGATAGAACCAACATCATCAAATAAACGATAACTTTTACGAGGCAATTCTTAAGATCCATACTCCCGATTTTGTTCCTGGACCTGCCCTATATAATCAAGAACGGCCAGAAGACTGGGTTGATGACAATGAACACGAAGAAATTAATGGACGCATCAAATATGAGGAACTTGAATTGGCCCTAAAGGAGAAAAGAGACAGCTCTCCGGGATTCGACAACATAACATATATCATGATTAGCAAAAGCCCTAAAGCATTAAAAAGCCTAATAATTGAGATATTCAATTATATATTGCTTTCAAACTGAATCCCAGAAGAGTGGAAAAGAGCGGTATTAGTTCCCATACTAAAGCCACAAAAAGATCCTGGTGATTATAAATCCTATAGACCAATAATATTACTACCCTGCCTTTCAAAAATATTCGAAAGTATTCTAAAAAAGAGATTAGAATGGTATATAGAAAAGAATACAATATTAAATAAATATCAATTTGGTTTCAGAAGAGGAAAAGGCACGATCGATTTACTCAGCGAACTCCTTGTGGACCTATATGGCGCGTTGACAGGAAACAAATATGTTCTATTAGTTACGACAGATGTTGAAAAAGCCTATGATCATGTAGATCACAAAATACTCAAAAATAAATATTCCAAATAAAATTAATAACACTATTATGTCACTTCTATCCGATAGAAAGATTTATGTTAGAAACCAGAATCGACTTATAGGTCCAAGAATAACTTATAATGGTATCCCTCAAGGCTCGATTTTAAGTCCTATATTATTTAACATCTATACGTCAGATTTCATAGAGATAGAAGGGACAAAAGTGAAAAAATTACAATATGCAGATGATTTGGTCATGTATATTTCTTCGCGATCATTACAGGAATGTAGTGATGAAATAAACAGCTCTTTAAGAAAAGATTTAGAATGGATGGCGGGACAATAAACTCATACTTGAACCTCAAAAGTCTAAATGCATTATATTCACTGGGCATAGGCTTCCAAGAAATTACATCAGTATAAATATAGAGACGATTCAAATTAATATAATAGAGGACATCAAAATTCTAGATACAAAATTAACTTTTAACAAACGCGTTAATGAAATGTTAGCTAAATGTGAAAAAGGAATCAATATCCTAAAACGAGTAAGTGGCATCACTTGGGGTGCACATCCTAATGTCTGTCTCTCGTTATATAAAGCCGTTATTAGACCCCACTTCGACTACGGGTGTCAAATTTATGGAGGGAGTTCTAAAGGGTTACTGGATAAACTAAATAGATAACAATATGCAGCTTTAAGAATATGCTTGGGAGCACTGAAGTCGACATCTACGAATTCGTTGTTGGCTGAAGCTGCAGAAGCTCCTTTAGAGATAAGAAGACAGGTTATAACTAATAGGTTTTTGATTAAAAAATTTAATTATGATCATGCATGGATACACAATTGTTTAGAGCGACTTGCATTTCTGCATTTCGACAATAGATTCTGGTATAAAAAACCAATACCACCTTTAATTGCTGGGTACCATACACTTAAACCACTAGAAGAAGAAATGATGTTAAATAACAGATTGACATACTTCACATTGTCTTGGAAAGGCACGTTACCTAAAAAGTACATACATTTATCAGATGACTTCGATAATGAAAAAAGATAGACAAGAAATTAATAAATCTGAAACTGAACAATTTAATGCTCAAATGTTCAAATATATACCGACGGTTCAAAAACAGAAAATGGGGTTGGATGCGCAGTGTGGATCCCAAGTCAAAATAAACAACTTCAAATTAAAATACCCGATTGGGCTACAATATTCACGGCGGAAGTGATGGCCATTAATGGAGCATTAGACCTAATCAGAAAACATAAATTGGAAAAAGTTATAATTTTGTCAGATAGTAAATCTGCTTTACACGCTTTAAATATACCTAAGGATTTTGGCAATCCACTGATTTTCGACAGTATTAGAAAGATAGAAGATTTAATTAAACAGAAGCATAATATCGAATTAATATGGATAAGAGGACATGCGAATATCATCGGAAATGAGATCGCGGATGGGCTGGCCAAAGATGCACATAGCACATCCACGATTGTAAATAATATTCCTGCAGTAGACCTTAAAGAAATTGTTACAAAAAATGGAATGTCTCAATGGCAAAAGGTATTCGATCAAGACGCACGTTTGAAAGGAAGACTTTACCAATCGTGTAACCCGAAGGTATCGAGAAGGACATGGTTTCAAAATATTAAATGGAACAGGAAAGAAATAACTTAATAACTTTATAAAATAATTAATAAAAATAAAAAAAAAAGTCTTTAAGTTTATCAAACATGTTACTCGTCGAGAATTCGTCTTTGTTTGTATTGTTGTCAATGTTTACATTCTGTCTTGGTAGGTTGGGGAAGTTATGTAATGATTGGGAATATCATTTCAAAAGTGGTTTAGGTGTGGGAGCTGGTATGTAAGAAATGGCATTTGTAGAATTTTGTCTTCTTTCATTTTTCTCGGTACGTTTTTCAAGATATTTTCTGAAATATCGGCATTCAATAAAATTGGCTGGGTGATTTCTAGAGCAATTCACACATATAGGTAGTTCGTCATCAGTTTTAGGACACTCTCCAGGGGCATGTTCTTTAGTGCATTTAACGCATCAAAATTTCATGTTGCAAAATGCTGATGTGTGACCAAAATATTGGCAACGGTAACATTCTAACTCTCCGAGATTTAGAAATTAAACGTTTCCACGATATTTTATGTCCAGATTTGTGGTTAATTATTTTGAATACATTTAAATCTTGTTCAAAATTTAAAAATATTATATGAACCGGGAGATCGTATTTAATGTTGTTCACAGTCTTGGTCATTCTTAATATTTTTTTAACCTTAATATTTCTTCCATTTAGAAAATCATAAATTTTTTCGTTTTCAACTATGTAATGGATAAGTAAAGAATTGGATTTTATCATCTGTTTGTCGTTTTTGTATTTGGCAGTAGTCATATTCATTATAGGTAGAAATTAATTAATTTTCTATGCCACGGTATTGTGACTGTATGTATTTATTGTTCGGTAGTTTACTCTTAATTATAATTGGAGGCACTTTAATTATTTGAGTAATACTAGTTGCATCTTTACCTGCTGATGTGTTTTCTATCCTGTCACCATTAATAGAACGTTTTCTGCTTTTAGCAGATTGTAAGTCTTCTTCAGGACCATTAGAGTCATTACTTTTTTTTTTTTTTTTTATTTTTACTGGCCTCGCTTACTCGAGCATTTAGCCACCTACAGTATTCTATACAATCATATATCCTATGTAATCTTTCAATTTTTATACTATCTTCTTCATATAAATCCTATTCTTTCTATCTTCTAAACACTTCTATCTTCTTCTTCTATACTTCTAATTTCATCTTCTAAACTCTTCTTACTTCAATTCATTTTAATTCTTATTCTCTAATTTTTTAAACATTTTGATTATTTTTATATACATATCTTTTTATTACAATTCATAATTCTATTATTATTCCAACTTAACTACTTTAATATTTTTCAAATTCTTGCCGGAGATTCGAACTCAGAACCTCCAGCATGTGAATCGGGAACGCTACTCTTGAGCTAATCCCGCCACGAGTCATTACTTAAAAGGCTAAATCTATTTTTGGTCTCATAGTCACTATTTACAGTAGTTCCGTTACCTCTCATTATTCCTTGTGAGGTCGATGGTTGGTTATCATCATTTTTTTTTCTGCGTTTTTTTTTTTTTTTTAAACTTTATCACTAATTATTTTTTCTTTTTCTTATCTTACATACTACATATATTTTACTTTTTCTTTACATATTTTTACTGTTTATTACATTTTTCTTTACGAATATTTCTTCCAAGGGCAGGTCCGTGGGTTGAGTTGAAAATGCACTCAAATCATGGTTGCACGATGTCAGAACTCTTACATTTTCCTGTTGTATATGGATACAACTCGACTTCCTTTGTATTTCGAAGCGATACAATCTTAGTACCTCTTTACTTCCAAGTGGCATGTTGCCACTACAGCTATGCCCACGAAAGGCCATTTTCACTTGAAATCATATTTGAAATCTATGATTTCAAGTGAAAATTTGGTATCAAGCTGCTTTGATACTGAACCGACCGAGGTTGGATTCGAACCCAGGACTAGAATTTGCTAGCCCACGTTCTTACCACGGGACCACGGCCGGCCCTCATCAGAAAGTTCCATATTTGTGTTATTCTTATTTTTTATTGTACTTAACAAACCTGTGGCATATTCGGTGTTTGTATTCGGTGTGTCGTTCAGAATTTTTTTCCGTTTCTACAAGAGGTAATCCTCCATTGTAGTCAATCTTTGGCCGTCTCAAAGGGAGCATTCAATACGAATTGCAAAAATACAGTTATAGCTTTTAGTTCAAAACACTGGTAAAATTATTATTATTGTACTCACGTTCAATTTTTTTTACTTTATTTTTATTTTTATTTTTTTATTTATTAGCCTCGCTTACTCGAGCATTTAGCCACCTACATTATTCTATACAATCATATATCCTATGTAATCTTCCATTTTTTTTATACTATCTTCTTCATATAATCCTATTATTTCTATATTTCTCAACTTATCTTAATTCTTCTTTTCTATCTTCTAAACTTCTGCTTCTATACTTCTCATTTCATCTTCTAAACTCTTCTCACTTCAATTCATTTTAATTCCAATTCTCTAACTTCTTATACATTCTGATTATTACAATTCATAATTCTATTATTATTCCAAATTTAACTACTTTAATATCTTTCAAATTCTTGTCGGAGATTTGAACTCAGAACTTCCAGCATATGAATCGGGAACGCTATTCTTAAGCTAATCCCGCCACCACTTGTTCGATTTACGATTATATAATATTTTTGAATCACGATGTATTCTCTTTGAGGTCTGGGACCAGAATGTCGAATTTTATAGAAGAGCTTATGAATTGTACGACGACATTTATATATGTTTACATGAAAGTTAATTAGTGGGGTAAATGGAATCGTGCCTTAAGGCAAATTGCTGGAACTTCCCGTACCGTAATTGAATCAAATCTTGGTACGGAACCCAAAAAAATTTACGCAAAATATGTACACATTATTAAAAGCTCTATAAAATATCTGATGATTTGATGTACATATGTCCAATAAACATTTGGTTGACATTGATAAATGCATATGCAACTAGTGTGACCATTAAGCTGACCATACGTCCCGGTTTGGTCGGGACAGTGCAGCATTTCCCGTCTCGGTTTTTTTTCAAAACATTATTTGTTCCGGATCGTCCCGTTTTTTTTTAAAATTTACAGATAAATTGATAAAAACTGTGATAACAAACGAACAAGTGCTATTTTTTTCAAATTATTTATGAATGAAATTGAATAGAATATTTTACAAAGCTCAAAACCGAGAAAAACATAAAGATCGATATAAGATATAATATCATAGATAGAAAAGTATTGCATATAATCGAAAAATAAAGTTCTTACTAAAAGTCCGCAATTCTTATAAAAAAAATATTTATATAAAGAAACTTTTATTATATACTGCCCGTCCCAGATTAGCATAACAAAAGATTGACTTATTGTTAGAAAAATATGGTCACCATAGTTACCATAGTACTATGATAGACAATATTTTAAATTCTTACATAAAGAATTTATTTTTGGCTTGTACAGTAGCAAAAACTTTACACTCTATTTTTTAATATTTTTTTTTTTTTAATAATTTTCTTAAAGTTTCTTAAAGTTTATTTTTCATAAAATTTACTAATTATAATTCCTTATAAATAAATATTTCAATAAAAAATTCAAATAAATATTGTTAGAAAAATATAGTCACCAAAATATGGTTGGGATACATACAAAATTATATGGAATACAGACCTGGTGAGGATATCTACCTAGGAATGAAAGAGGGATATCTCCATCATGATATAAAAGAAAAAAGTTTCAATAAAATCATTCTATTTCGACTGCCTGCCCGAAGGAATAATATACTTATATTATTGTATAAATAGAATAGTGTTATGTAAACAGTATCAGAGTAATAAATTTAATTTTACCGTTAATATTGGTTATGGGCCCAGGTAAAAGCCCAGGTAGAAACCCAGCGTACTGAGCGAGAATCCAGCGACTGATAACGAGTAAAGTAAGATAAATAACGGAAAAGCGCCATCTGATTTGGTCCTTCACATGCAAGGAAAAGAATTAAAAATGTGCGCGCATCTTGGTGCCGCGAAAGCAATATGGGACAAATTGCAAGAACTATTCGAAAGTCAGGGTGCAACGAGGCGAACAACTCTCATGAAAAAATGTGTAACATTAAAGATGCATAAAAGCGATGATTTGGCAAAACATGTGACAGATTTTTGTGAAACTGCTGCGAAACTCAACGATATCGGCATTGTAGTCCCAGACGAAATGCTGGTAACGTTACTTATGTACAGTCTTCCTGAATTATTCGTAATGTTTAAAGAATCTATAGAAGCGCAGGAGAAGTTGCCAACACTGGAAGTTTTAAAGGTTAGGTTGTTTAACAGAATCCAAGGCATCAAATTAAATGAGGAAAATAAACATTAACAGGGGGTACTTTATTCGGAAAGTATAAATAAGGAACCGTCAGATCATAAATCGAATGCTGCATATCGAAGAAGTATGTGCCATAAATGCAAGAAAGTCGGACATTTTGCGCGTGATTGCGTAACCAAAGTTGAATCACGTCGGCAAATAAGATGTCATAGATGCGAAAAAGGAGGACATTTTGCTCGTGACTGCCGATCGAGGTATCCAGCCCGTAAGCAGTTTACAACTTATAATACTAAACGTGTTTGGCGTTAATGAACAATCAACATTACCAGACAATATTTGGTGCTTAGATAGCGGGTGTTCAAGCCATATGTGTCATCAAAAGGATAACTTTGAAAACCTTAATCGATCAAATGCGGAGTTGAAACTGGCTAATAACAATTGCACTGTCGTTAAAGGAATTGGAAGCGTTCAGACCACGTTTGAACAAAAAGAAAATAAACACGTGAGATTAGAAAATGTGTTATATGTCCCGGACTTGAGAAATAATTTGTTATCAGTATTTAAAGCCACTGATAATGGATATACAGTGATTTTTACACGAAAGAGTGCATTGCTAACTAAAGAAGGCAAGATTGAATTGAAAGCACATCGTCGAGGTGATTTATATTATATCAATCAAAAAGTGAATTCTGCGACATGTAAACAACGATTTTGGGCTGAGGCTGTTTGCAATGCCAATTACACAAAAACAGATGTCCAACAAGCGCACTAGATGGAGGTATACCATATACGGTATGGACTGGAAAAATCCAAATTTAGGTTATTTACAAATATTTGGATCAAAAGCATATGTTTTGATTAAAAATAGAAATATCGAAGGAAAATTTGATTCGAGATTTAAACCTGGAATTTTTATTGGTTATTCGAATAATGCTAAAGCTTATCGAATATATATGCCGGGAAGCAATCAGATAATTGAGAGCAGAAACGTTAGATTCATGAACTATTCTGGATTTAATAATGAATATAGTGAGATATATAGTGAAAATGGTGATGGTATTTAAAATTGGGAAATGTCGAGCGAAATACAAACCATGAATGACCAGCACAGCAGCAATCAAAACGTGGAAAAGGGCGTCCTAGGATTATTTGGACAAGACATGCAGGAAGACCGCGAAAAGAATGTCAAATAAATAAAGAAATGATCGAAGATACATTAGAAGAATCCTCTGGAGAAAGGGAGGTTAATCGAGAGATTTCAAATGAAGAGATTCAAAATTCTGTGATTAGTGATATATGTGATTAGTGAAAAATGTGAAACATTTGAAAATGCTTTCAATATATCGAAAATTAATATTACGACTTGGGAACAAGCAAATTAGCTAGGTGATGCTGACGAATGGAGGAAAGTATTAGAAGACGAGTACCTTACGAAAATCAAAAATATGTCGTCGGACATAGTTGAGCGACCCATACAAAGGAAAGTTATTGAGAACAGATCCGTTTTTACAACAAAATGAGATGGAGAATCTAATAGGAAAAAGGTGCGGTTAGTTGCAAAAGAATGTTCACAAACATATGGTGAAAAATTATGTGAGACATATTCCCGGTGTCACGATCAACTTTTATCAGACTACTGGTAGCATTATCTGCGGAAACGGGTTTAGAAATTTATCAAATGGATGTCGTAACTGCATACTTAAATGGAGAACTTGAAGAAAAAGTCTACATGAATCTGCCAGAAAAGTTACGTGAAGTATTATATAAAATTGTGAATAAGAAAACATTGGGTACTATTCGAAAACCGGCTACTGCGAAAATTAGAGATACAGTGAAGACCTGGCTAAGAAATATTGAGAAAAACTCAGATCCCGTATGTTTATTGAAGAAAGCACTACATGGATTACGCCAATCAGGTATTCAGTGGCACAAAAAATTTATAACAAAATTGCAGACAATGGGATTCAAAGCAATGTTGCAAGACCCATGTTTGTTTATGTGCAATAAAACAGGAAAACATACATTGATAGTTATTTATGTTAATGATTTGTTAATTGCTTCAATTGATAAAGATTGGTTAATAGAAATTAAAATATCTTTATCAGAATGTTTTGAGATGAGAGACTTAGGCAAAGTAGATAGATGTCCTGGAATTGAATTTAAACAGGAAAATATATTTGTATATTTAAAACAACGTTTTTATGCAAGAAATATACTAAATCGCTTTAATATGGAAAATTGTAAAACAGTATCAACATCATGCGAGGTTAGACTCCAACTGCTTAAACCTGAGGAATCCAATAAATACATCATGCAAAAGTATCCTTATCAGTCTTAGGGGCGTTAATGTATTTAGCAGTAACTACAAGACCAGATATTGCCTATGCAGTAAATTATTTAAGTCAATTTAATAAGGAATAATATACTTTCATTATTGTATAAATAGAATAGTGTTATGTTAACATTATCAGAGTAATACATTTAATTTTACCGTTAATAGTTACCATCAGTTCATTCGATTACCGACAGTTGAACTGTACACATCGCAGAGTGTTATCAGTAACGTTACAACAAGCCAGTCTACATGTAGTCAAATAATAATAAACATATTATACCTGTACAGTGTAGATATCTAAAACCGCCATGTGCCCCTTGTGGGTACACGCAAGTGAATTTAATTTTCTATCTATAAAAAATTAACTCAATTGAGTTTAATTTAAGTGAAATTAAAAGTGTTAGTGACATGAGTGACGCTGCCCACGGGCAGGTAAATAATTCCGAGATTATCGGGACCCGACCCGGCGATATCGGTGCTTGCGTATCGAGCGCAATACAAACATTATATAACACAAACAATGCAGATTATTCGGTTAACAAAATTATAAGTGAAAAAAAGTCATTAGGAAACACAAAAATTAAACATAAAATCAAACCTAGCATTAGCAAAAATGCCGAAAAAAAAATAAAAAAAAAATACGGACATTATTCCAGAAATGTTAAAATCTGGTACTATCAATAAAATTGAAAATAAACAACTTAAACTGAATATTCCTAGTGAAATTAGCCAAAATATAACAATGGAACATAGTAATTTAGAACCAAGTCAAAATGTTATGGAAGTTGCCGCTATGAACAATGTCAACAGTGAATCATCAATTGATACTAGTGACCTTAACCAGGGCTGGACAACCGTTCAAAATAAAAAACGCTCACAGTCAGAAAATCCAAGTACCCCTGTGGAACAACATACTTTAAAGGAATACTAGCTGAACCCAACTCCCACTAGCAACTACTTTGATGTTTTAGCAAGCACATCAGCTCAAAAAGATGCCGACAAACAAACAACAAACACACCACCTATCTTTGTACATGGCGTAAACGACATTGAACCTTTATTTGGTTTACTTGAGACTCACGTAAAAGGTCAGTACTCATACAAAATAGTAGGAAACGATCAAGTCAAAATTAATGCCAAAGATGCTCACGTCTACAATATAGTCTTAAAGTTGCTACATGAAAAGGGCACACAATTACACTTCTATCAAGCGAAGTGTAAGCGAACATTTAAAGTAGTGGTAAAAAGTTTGCACCATAGCACTGACATCAAAACACTTACAGAAGAAATTATTACACTCGGTCACAAGGTCGTACGCATCTACATAATGAAACACAGAGTTACAAAAGCTCCACTTAATATTTTTGTAGTGGAACTTGAGCAAAGCAATAATAATAAAGATTTTTACTCCATCGAATACCTCTACAGAACAAAAGTTACTATAGAAGCTATGCGCCATAGAAGAGAAGTTCCGCAGTGTACAAGATGTTAAAATCTTGGACATACACAAAATTACTGCTCACGCATCGCACGCTGCGTAAAATGTGCCTAAGAGCATCTAACAAAAGATTGCCCCTGGAAGGACCCAGTCAACGTCGGCGTTAAATGTGCTCTTTGTTCTGGTAATCACCCAGCCAGCTATAGAGGGTGCACCATTTATAAAGAAGAAAGACGACGCAGATTCCCTCCCCTAAGGCAAAGACAACCCGCCCAACCTAGTGACAATTCTCAACCTTTCGTCCGTCCAAATGTTTCCTTCTCAGATGCTACTTCTAGAAGCATAAACAGCGACAGAAACCACAGGGACAACCAAGGAGGACTGTCGTCACACAATCAACAGCAAATGATTACTCCAAGTAACCAACAAACAGACATGCAAGAACTAAAAGCTATGATGAAAACTCTCATGGAACAAATGAGCACTATGCTGAACATTTTGACAAACCTTCTACCTTTGAGAAAATGATGGCCTTATACTACAAACTATGTATATGGAACGCCAACGGTCTTGCGCAGCACCACCAAGAAGTAAAACAATTTCTTCGTCATAACGATATAGACATAATGCTAATCAGTGAAAAACATTTTACTAGCAAAAGCTACCTTAACATTCCACAATATAGTTTATGGTTTATAGTTTATAGTTTATAGTTTATAGTTTATAGTTTATAGTTTGGTGAAAAGTCTCAGACATAAAGAAATTTCACCTCTAAACGCTTTATTGTACGTTACATAATCATGAACATTACCACTCAATTTCTGAGTGACTTTGAACATGGGTAACGCGTATTTACGCTAAAATATGAAAAAAAACAAAAAAAAAATATATATATATATATATATATATATATATATATCGGAGATCATGAAATCGCAAGTGACGCGATCCGAGTTCATCCCAAGTCTGGAATGAAAAGAAAAATTAGATATGTTCAGTTGAGACCAACTGAAACATTTTAGATAATCAATGCATGTTTTCAGAATATGATGCACAATTTAATATCTTCGTTTTGGGCACCGTTAGAAGATCAGGAATAATAAATGCAATGTCGACAGTTGCTGATAGAAAATAGACTTGAATCAATCCTGTCCGTTAATGTGCGTCAAATTCTAATGTGGATCTGCAAAAAGCAAGAAGCGCAGTATCAAAAAAGAAATATACTAATAAATGAATTTGAATAAAAAATATTTTATATAGAAAGGGTTAGTAAAATTTATTAAATAATAAAATTTAGGGAAAAGATGACGTGAATGAGAAGCAGATGATTACTAAATTATCATTGGTTAGCAAAGTATTGTTTAATATCAAAATTAACAAATTCTGAAATATCATAGAAATATTGAGCTTTTAAGAATTTTACTATAGTATTGTGGAATTTATGATTATTAAGTTTTCGTATGTGAAGTGGTAGTAAGTTAAAAAGTTGAATTCCAAATCCGTCAATTGAGTTAAAAGACGTTGCAAGTTTAAATACTGGTGTTTTAATAGTTAAGTTTCTTGTCTTGTAATGAGAATTTGACATTGAAGACAAATTGAAACGTTCGGGATTATTTTTTATAAACGATAAGGTAATGAGCAAAAATATACTGGGAACGGTAAGGATACTATGTTCACGAAAAATGTTTTTACAAGAAGATAAAGAACTAATAGAAAAAATTATTCTCAAAGCTCTTTTTTGAAGTTTGAAAATGCGGTTAAGAGATGGAGAGAACCCCCAAAACTGGATTCCATATGCGATGTGTGAGTAAAAATTGGAATAGTAAATTGAGAGAAGACAATTTAAACTAACCTTAGATTTAAGAACTCTTAACATAAAACACGTTTTCGTTAAATTGGGTGTTAGTATAGAATCAATGTGATAGTCCCAATTTAAGTTTTTATGCAATTGTGCGCCTAAAAACTTCGAGATAGAAGAAAATTTGAAAATAGTATCATT